AAACTGAGACCATTGCAGGGCACAAAGGCTACGTTCGGGAAGAGAGGACAAGTCAGTATTGGACTGTGTTTCACAAACTAGTACAGAATAGCATTTGTAGAATACATTTTCCAAGGCACTTTCACATGTATCAAATCAACTTTGACAACTACGAAGAAGACTTTATTTTTAATCTTCATTATATATATGAGCAAACTGAAGCCAGGGCAGTTAAATGCTTTGCCAGAAATCACGCAGTTTGTATCAGAACTGGGCTTGAAGTTAGATCTGACTTTAAGTTCAGAGCTATTTCCACCATTCTAGAAGGAAAGCACATAAGGAGAAGAGAGGATGAGTTAGTTGCTCTGCAAACTAGACTGGTACAGACCATCTTATCAAACCATATGCACTGGGAGAGTAAGAAGCATGCAAAACACATGCTGACACCATTAGGAGAGATATATACATGTTCCCAATAATGTAGAGGACAACAGTGTTGTATAGTGAAATGTGACGTGGATGTACATTTCATACCTTAACAAAGCTCAGCTGGAGCTGTTGCTTAATTCTTTGCTAGTTTTGTTCTATTGAAACTATGGATTAATACCATGCTTTACAGATTCTTCAAATCCAGACCTTAAACTAAATAGTTGTTGAGTGATTTTCTGTACAATAATCAATATGAGGATAACTTACCAAGGACTCAGATCTCACTGAAAAAGAACATTTAATGTAAATGCATTTGTTTGGTCTATGCATTATATATTAAGAATGGGTTTGACATTTAAAGTTTTCCTTGGAATTAGAAGATGATGTTTCAGGTTAAAGCAATAACAACAAAGCAAAAACAGCTGGCCGTGAAGAGGCAACATCATTTGTAAAAGTATTTTATTTGTATCCTGCAACATTACTGAAATTGTTAATCAGCTCTAAGAGTTTTTTGGTAGTGTCTTTAGGTTTTTCTATATATAGGATCATGTCATCTTCAAACAGGGGCAGTTTGACTTCTCTTTTCCAGTATAGATGCCTTTTATTTCTTACTCTTTGATTGCTCTTGCTATCACTTCTAACACTGTGTTAAATAGGAGTGGTGATAGTGGGCACCATTGTCTTGTTCCTGTTCCATTCTGGTTCTAGGCTTTTCTTTGTTGGGAGACTGCTGATTACTGCTTCAATTTCATTGCTTGTTATTGGTCTGGTCAGGTTTTCTACTTCTTCTTGGTTCAGTCTTGAATTAAATTTTAGATTAAATTTATTCCGATAAAGTTTTATAATGTTGATGCAACTGGTATTTTCAACCTCAAGGTCAAATAAATCAGTGTTTCTGAGTGTTAGTGGAATAAAGATAGAAAAATTGTTTTGTGTGATAGAACTTGCATCAAATGAAACCATTGGAAATCTGAAAGATAAAATCATTTTGAAGTTTTTCCAGAGTTAAAAGAGTGACCAATTCGTATGGAACTTATCCCCTTTCTCTCATGACTGGTAATTTCAGTTTTGAGTTTGGAATGAGAAATTATTTTAGATATATATTCTTTACATATGCACTTGTGTGCATGCCTAAGTTATTGTATTGCTGATGCACTGTAATGTTACTTTTAAGAAATCAAAGATGATGTTATGTCCCTAGTTATTCCATGCCTTTTTGTATACACAGGCCTGGCAAAGTTATTCAGGTACTGCGTATATTGTTTACATCTGGGCACTTGCCTATGGATTCCTGTGCTGGGGCCTTTCAGCTGGTGCAGCACAGGCATTTGCAAACTGATCAGTGACTCCAGCAGACAGAAAATGAGAGCGATGACCCAAGTGGGATTTTAAAAGATGTAAACTCAGTCCAGAAATCTGCATGGTTATCCCCAAGGCAGAGTCAGGGTATTTCCCATTCTCTTTCAACATATGTAATTATCATCTGTGTCTATGTTTTATCTTTAAAGGTATCTTGCCTTTTCAGGACTGCTTTGGTTTTTGCTGTAACCGGGCATCAATTCTGAAATGAATTTAGGTTAAGGTTCTGAGAGAGCAAAGGAATCCCATAGTGTAATTTTTCTCTGAAGTTTCACTGTCTCTTTTCTACTGTCATTTCTTATCAGAGATAAGAAAAATTGATCAAGCACGTAGTTACTGAACGTTTGGCTTTTTTGTAACATAAGGTACAAATATAATATTTTTTCATGTCTAGAAATCTCTTAAATAAAGCATTAAAGAGAGTTTGTAGAGAAACAGACTTGGAGTACTGTGTTCACAGTCCTTCTAATCATCATTTCAAGGACAAAATCAATAAAAAAAAGGCTTAGAAATAACACTTGGAAATAAGATTTGAGTAGATTGAAGCTGACCATTGGTACTACCTATGCCAAAAATAACCGGAGCTTGTAAAATGAGATCCCCTTAAGAAAATTCTACTTTATCTTTCAAATCAATTATTACTCTTAAGCCATGTTATTATCTAAGAGATTATGCAGTTACATATTCTTTATATTTTGTATGAAAGAACTATGAAGCAAGCAAATTAAAACTAATAGCAGTGATTTATGTCTTTAAATCATAAGGGATATATGATGGAAGTAGTAGAAAATCAGCTTAATTTTCTGTCTTCTATCCTCTTCCCTTTTTTTTGGGTATAAGTTATGGCAAAAAAGAAACCGAAAGTTCTGATAACTCACAATCCTCTATCAGTCCACTTTTTTTCATTTCCCCACTACCATCCTAGTTCAGCAGTCTTTTATTGGACTCTTCACACCTTGCTTTTCTACAGGTCATTTTTCACAAAATAGCCAGAATTATGTTTTTATAATATACTTTTATCATGTCACCTGCTAATGAATTTCCATTACACTGAGAATAAAATGCAAAATCCTTTCCATGGCCCACAATGATCTGGCTCTTTGTACCTCTCAAGGACATCTATTTGCACACCCAGTACCCATCCCACCCCTTCTGCGCTCCAGTTACCACTGAGGTTTTAGCTAACTAGCTCACCCTGTAAGGTGGCATTGTGCTTGATATCTCCTCTTCCTGGATCGCTTTTTCTCAGATCCTAACAGCATTGCCTCCTCTTTGTCTTTCCTGACTCATCTTAAGATCACCTTTATAAAGAAGCCTTTCCTGATCACTCCGTCCAGGGAAGCTCCCAGTCACTCACTGTCATATCATTCTGCTTTGTTTTCATTTATTGTTTCATATAACAAATATTTATTGAGCATCTACTATATGACATATTTATTGAGCACTTATTATATGATGAGGAACACAATAAGGTGGTTGCCCTTAGTGGAGGCTTCATTCCAATGAAAGGGAATAATCAATATTAACTACCTAGGACCCTCACCCGATCCCCCATTGTACATAGAGTGAAATATTCATGAGCATAATGATGATTTTTAGTTCTGCCGGAATTAGAGAAAGGAACTTTCAGAGAACGCATTCTTTCTCACACTTTACTCTGTTAAGTTACATCCACAGCTGGAGAAGAGGCCAGGCATAGTACAAAGAACACTGCTACGGTGATACAGCCCTCCAAAATTTACTATGCACATTCTTGAGCAAGTCACATTGTCTTTTTTTTCCAGTAATTTTCTCGTTTTTAAAATGGGGTAGTCCTATCCATTTGACAATTCTTGAATGAATTAAGTATGAAATTACTTGATAAATAGAGTGCTATCCAAAAGTTGCTATTTTTGTTTCAATCATAATAATAATTTCCAGTTCCACCCTTGGGTACCTGAGCTCTGAATGTACATTTCCAATAGTTGGATAAACATTTCTAAGTTGATCAAATAAAATGAAAATTTTCATTTTCCTACTGAACTAGTTACCCTTCCTAATTTCTCCACTTTGGGGAAATACATCTTTCCACCTCAGTTTCTAAATCCAATTAGTCCAATGCCTTATCGGTTTTTCCTTTGTTATAGCTCTTGAAGCTCTTCTTTCCCACCTATTTGCAAGGCCACCGTCTACGTTCAGTTCCTCACCTCATGTCTCCTCTTTGCTGTCTTCTCAGGGATCTTCACCCTCCTTCCTCAGTCTCTCCCTTCCAAACCATTTAGAATCCTGCCACTATTTAATCTGTTTACTATGTCTTTCCCCTATTCAGAAACTTAATGTGCCACCTTCTGTCTTGCCTGCATGATAGATTTAAAGTCCATTAGCATATTATTTAAAGTTCACCATAATCTGGCTTCAATCTACCTTTCACATTTGATTTCCTGTCATTCCTCTTTCTGACCATCTCATCCAGCTAGATAGATCTGTTTCCTAATCCCTGACCCTTTGCTTAACTTTCCAGCTTCCTCTGCAAACTTCTTTGTGTTTTTTATTTGTCTGGAATTCTCCCTTCTCATTCCAATCCTCTTCAACTTTTGCGATGCTGCCTAATTCTCTATTTCATAGGAATCCTGAATTTTTATCTCCTTTTCTGTTTTGACATTATATTCAACTTCATGTTATTTGCCTGTGCATACATGATTAGAATTTCTCATATTGTTTTATATATCCCAAGTGCCTTCCCCATAACAAGAACTTACTATATATTTTAAAGTGTCATCAGTAGTTGAGATTTTGTTCTATATTGTGCTTTTCTGAGAATGTAAACGAGGCCCTTCTGTCTAGAAGAATGAGTTAAAGTCTGCTCACAGGAAGAGCATTGGGCTTATTAACCTCACCTCATCCACTTTGAAAGAAATTAGGCCCACTTTCTAGGAGAACTTGACTATAGTTTATCAAACTATAACATGTAAATTCTTATTTAACCTAATGAAAGTACTGGCATTTATAGAAGATTTGTCCCAAGAGAAGAATAATAAACAATGACCTGCTTAGGTGAGTATTGAATGTTATTTGCAGATGTTTCTAAATTTGCTGAAATTTTCTCCATCCAGTCCCATGGGTCTTCATGAAAACTTGCCTCTGTTTTCTTGTTCATTAGATTAACATAACACTGAATAATATTTAGTAGGTCTCTGATGACCGTACTTTATTTTGACTCTATACTAATGGCATATTCTTCTGTTTTTCTGCAGTACTTTGGAAGTTTACTTGTTATTTTCTGTGTAGAACTGGCTTGTGGCGTTTGGACATATGAGCAGGAACTTATGGTGAGTTCAAAATGGGACCTAATTACAATCTAAAATAATATCCAGTGCAGCCTTCTGAATCAGATACTTAAGAGTAATTTAGGCACATCATTATTAATGTAAATATTTATGCTACCTGATAACAATGAATACTTATAAAAATAACATTTATAAAATACTTATAAAAATAGTACTTAAAAAATAACATTCTTAATATTTATAAAAATAACATTTTCTTTTCTGTGTCTAAAGCACATTTCTGAACCATAATTTGTAATATTTTATTTGGTGTACTCTGATATATGTCTTTCATTCCACAGATTGCTTAAACGTGAATATAATATATGAAAAATAATATGTTTTAAAATAATTTTACCAACTTCTGAGTTAATAGTAGGAAAGATTCACATTTCCAACATGATTTGTTTGAGAATGCTTGAAAACCTGCATAAGGCCTTTTGAAATGCTGACTCCAGCAGTCCACGATTACTAGGAAGCCTGCTTCTCCTATTTGCAACAAGCTGAACCATCTTCCACTTTAAGAAGTGTATTTGAAGAGTTGCTGTGTATTTACTGCAGTCTAGAAATACCCTCACAGTTTGAGACCTGGCTACTTGAAAACAGCTCTTCAGCATTTTTTCTCTTTTATTTCAGCAATTGAAGCTGCTGGAACAACTTTTATAGCTGTGTTAGAATGAATGAGGATAAGAGATTCTCAGCCCTAAGATTTTACCAGTCATGTGTCGTTCGCCACTTGCCCTTCACCCTTGCTCGCATTGAGTATTATTACTTATTAAATATTTGCTCACTTCATGGGTAAAAATTAGTGCATTATTACGAGTGAGGCTGAGCGCCTTTGCAAGTCTGTGAATGCTGGCTGTTTCCATGGAGTCAGGTCAGATTTTTTGCACTGTAAGCATTATAGAGTAATTCTGTTTCAGTAAAATGGTGTTTTTCAACATGTAGTCCTTGGATCTGTAGTAGGAGTCACCCAGGGTGATTCTTAAAAACGTGCATTATCAGGTTCCAGCTCAGGTATATTAAATCAGAATGGAAGGAAAGGCAGGTGAGGAATGGGCAAAGACTGGGCATTTGCATCTGTGATATGTTCCCCCATGAGACAAACATTTAAAATTTCAAGAACTCCTAGGAAGAGGGGGAGATTATTTTGTATTTGTTTCAGAGAGAAGAGAGGCATTGGGCAGTTGTGTAATAAAATTGAAGTCATTGCTGGTACTGATGCGGTTATTAAAGATTCTATGACAAACCTGCTACTGTACTGTGAGACTGTTCTGAATACTAAGTGGTAACTACAGACTACTGGATACTCTGCGTGCTCCAATTTACATGTAAATGATGCTTTGGCACTGACACTCATAGGAGCCCCTGTGAAGATGCTCGAAGAGAAAATTTATGAAAATTGAAAAGTCAGGACAGGTTTTAAGTAGTTGAATATAAAGAACTTTCTTTAAAACAAAGTCTCTCATTAAAACAGGAATTCTCTTCCTGTCTTTGAGAATCGTATTTTTACTCCATCCTTAGAAACTTTGTATATTTGGGGGAGTGAAAAAGTAGTTAGTTCTAGGGACTCAGTTTCTATATTTTATTGGTAAAGAGATTGTCTCTCTTAATTTTTTCTGTTTCAAATGATAAATTTATCCCCTTGTCATTAAGCAATAGAGAATAAATCTTACAATTAATTCTTGATCCCCTTACTTTAACTTTTGACTGTGTTCTGTTTGGTGGGGTTTTTAGAAATGAGCTTACTTTCTCATGGATTTTTAAAATGTTTTATAATGTATATGTCTTACTAATATTTGATAAATTTCCTAAATTATAACAAGTTCAAAATGAGTTAATTTATGATGTTTGAAAGGAAATGTTTTGATTCCACCATAGTTCTAGGAAACATGAGTAACTGAAAGAAATTTATACCTGTTTAGATACTTTCTTCTATTCTGTTAGAGGGTGGTCTGCAAATAGCTTCTTAGTATTGCAGTACTAAAAAGCGCACATTGCCATTTCAGTTGAGGACTGCATCACTGTTATGCTTGTGTAAATTTTCCCCATTACATCACCAGGATAGAGCAAGGGCTGTTTAAAAGTGAAATGTGGAAAGCAGTCTTTTTTTAAGAAAAGTTCACCAGATTTTTTTTTATTGCTTTTGCACTAATAGCAGTGTGAATGAAAAGTACCATTAAAGTTTATTATCTGCCAAATTTTGCAGAACACGGCCTTTACATAGAATGGGCTTTGTGATTTTAGTTGTTCTATCGATGTGTGTGTTACTTGTTACTTTATGGCCAGATCCCAGTATTTTGTGCAAGAACCTCAAAGGTCTCCTCTGTTTTCTTGCCACATTTGGTCTCAGATTGATTGTGGTCACAATGAGGGAACAGCCTATATTTATTTTGGAAGATAAAATTTTTAAAAAATGACTATTATATTAACTAAATCAAGAGACTTGCCATCAGAGGAGAGTCTGTTTCCCCATTATTTCATTATTCTCTAGATAAAAATCTGTCAATATTAATTGTTTCAGGTTATACATTTCTAGAAAATTTACAATTTCACTTTCATTTATTTTATGCCCAAAAGGATATGAGATAATAATAATTTATACTGAGTGACTTGAACTGTGGTTAGGTTCCTGAACTTTGTTGAAGCCATATGAATACAGAATGTATCTATCAGTCCATTATTTGGGCCATAGAATTGCGTGCGTAAGTGTTTGGGTGTTTTCTTTTGTATTCTGCATTTCCAAGTAATCAAAAAGAAAATTAACAAAGGAAAAAAATGAAGAATTTCTGTGGTTGGGAATTTTTTAACTACTTCTATTGATATTACTATTTTAAGAAATAAGATTTCAAAATAATCCTAATCTCAAATTTTATTGGAGCTTTATTTACTCACCTCTCCCCTTTCTCTTTTTTGGTTCTTGATCTTTATGTCATTTATTGAATTTCAAGTTTGTCTCACTAAACCCTGCCTGTATTACCCCGCCATATATTAGATGTAGATACTTGTCCAATTTCCAAAGAGTTACTTTAATACCACATATGTGCTGAGACTAGGATTTGTATACCTCAGTTTCTCCTAGTCCTGTAGATAAAACCTAGGTTGATATGCTGACCAGATTTCTGGCCAACAGTTGTGTTGCATACCTGCCCTGAAGCTCTGTCACAATTAAACATTCTGTGACACACACAGTGCTAGGCAACTTGAGGATAGAAGCACAAAAAATGCTTTCATTTCAGAATTGTTCTTTCTAAAATTCTAGCATGCCTCCAAAATCCAACTTTTGGAAATGCGTTTACAAAGTTAATCCAGAGTGAGGTTTGACTTGAGCCAAATTCATTCCCTTCTTAATTCTTTCCCCTTTATTTTAGTACCTTTATCTGCAGTTATGTCAAAGAACAACTTCATAGCATTATGAAATCAAATCAAAAGGCATTTCTGTGCAGGGATCATTGGTTATGAGGAGCTCTTCCGGTGTATCTGTGGGAAGTATATTGGCATTACAGTGATTCTCCTTATTTTGCTTCATACAAAGTATCTCCTTATTTAGAATAAAAATTGACATGTAGAGATTGTTCAATAAGTATTTCATAATGCTGAGCTTAATTTAGGCCACAAGAAAATATAGAATTAAAATAGTATGTGTTGATTATAATACATTCCAAGTATGTGTGAGTATGTGAGTGACTGTGAGTGAGTCTATCTGTGTCTGAGTGTGTGTTTTTGTGTGTTATAGTTGTTGATATTTTGCTTTTTATTTCCAGGTCCCAGTACAGTGGTCAGATATGGTCACTCTGAAAGCCAGAATGACAAATTATGGCTTACCTAGATACCGGTGGCTTACTCATGCTTGGAATTTTTTTCAGAGAGAGGTAAATGCTACAATTCTGAGGTAGTGAGTATGGAATAAGCAGCATACTTTCAAGCCAGATGTTCAAAGCTTTGAGACTGGTAATTTCTCTGTGCTGAAAAATTAAGCTAATGATTCAATTAGCACTGGTGCAATTCTTTGCTGAAAAATATCTTCAGTAACTCCATGCCCTGTTTTTCTTCCCACGTATACCATTTTCCCTTCATTTCACATGGTTCACATATATTTAAGAACTTCTTAAAGGCCATCTGCTGAAGTGATATGGTTTTCTTTTTATGAAAGTTATTTGGTAAATATCCAAGTTCTATTTGAATAGATATTTTTCATGACTTTTAAAGCTATGTGTATTTTAAATATCATTATAATTTTTTAAATGATCATTCTCATTTGGGAATTTGTAGTCAATATATATCATTAAGGGTGTGAGAGAGACCTTGGCTCAAATCCTAGCTCTGTTTCTTACTATTAAATGATCTTCTATAATTTACTTAACCTCCTCAAGCTTCAATTTCCTCACCTGTAAAAAATAAAAGTAGGGATAAAATTAAAAATAGGGATAACAGAAGTATCTAACACCTCTGGTTGTGGAGAAGACTAAAAGAGATCATAAACTAGATCTCACTTAGCTTATGGTTATTAACAATAACATTACAAAGTTTAGGTGCTTTTATCTTTTCTTATCTAATTGCCATGTAGCACTGCACCCAATAGTTATCTCAAACGGGGATTGTATTTAGATGTTTAAAATCTGGTGACTTGAAATTAACCATCGATCTTGCTTCAAACCAAGCTCTTCTCCCAAGCAGTTTCTTTGTGATTGGAATGACATTCCCAGATGATCAGGTATCTCAGTTTCCTTTATCTTAGAGCTGAGCCACTAAGCATTTGGGAATCAGTATCTTACAAGACTGATAGCCAGCTCCCTGCTTAGTTACTGTGTCCTGGATATAGTCAGAGGTTCAAGTCCAGGACAATCTCCAAATCTGGCTCTTTGTGTTACGATTGTTGTGATGGTGAAAATTATCACTGTAACACAGATTTCCTGTTGATTTAAATGCTTCCTGACTTTGTTTACTGCACATTTGTACTAAAAACAACACAAAGGGAAAATAATAAGTGAAGCATTAGGGAATTTATAGTAAGCTGTGTTCAGCTACTGTCCTGGGTAGGAGCTGCCCAGAGCTCTTTATTTTCTGGAATTTGTGATGTAAACTCTGATAATCCACGTTAACAAGCAAAGTGAGTTGTTTTCTGATGGGGCTTCCACTTAGATGAACAATGTATAAGCACTGCAAATGATTATTATTTTTAGATTTATGATAAGTTCCCTCCTCCACATCATAAGCCTATTTCGCATACAAGAATGTGGTGAGACTTCTGGTACCCTGAAAAACTTTATAAAAGCTCATCATATTGGTTTGTGAGGACTCCTATACAACGCATCACAGACTGGTTGGCTTAAACAATAGAAATTTATTTTCTTGCAGTTCCAGCCTCTAGCTGGAAGTTCCAAATCAAGGTGTAGGCACAGTTGTTCTCTTCTGAGGTCTCTCTCCTTGGCTTGTAGCTGGCTGTCTTCTCCCTGTGTTTTCACATTGTTTTCCCTGTATCTAGGTGTCTGTGTTTAAATTGTCTCTCGTTTTAAGGACATCAGTCATATCGGATTAGGGCCCAAGCTAATGACCTTATTTTAACTTGATTACCTCTATAAAGAGGTAATGACCCTATCTCTAAACAGGATCACATTCTGAGGTATGGGGGGTTAGAATTTCAGCATATGAATTTTGGTGGGGGGACACAATTCAGTTCCTAACACCCCTCTTCCAATATAAATTGTACAGCAGAAAGTGACCTTGTCAGGTCCCAGTATTCCTTGCTCCTCATTTAGTGCTACTCTGTGCGTGTACCTCAACTTAGTAGACTCTCATTTAAGCTGTAGTTTACTTACTACTTTTTTTTAAAAACTAACTTTTAAAAAATGTATTTATTTTAATATAGTGGTTGAAGCATAAGCTTTGGAATAGTCTCTTCCCCACACTAGCCTGAGACCTTGACAATTTACTTGGCCAGTCAAGGGCCTCAGTTTATCCATATGTAAAATGTGATGGTATTTTCTAGAGCTTGACACAATGTCAGCAAGAGTGCTGCTATCTCACAGTGCGATATTAAAAGTGGCAGGAAAATGACAAGGAGATGTAGACTACAGTAATGTGTTGGTATAATATTGGGTTTACTTAAGGGAGTTTTCAGGAAAAGTTTTAGTACAAATTCAGTATCTTCTGTTTAAGAGGAAAGATAACTATATAAAAAGAAAAAAATAGTGATTTATTAAGATAACAAAAAATGTTTGGCACTGAACATGATATGCTTATGTTATTTGGAAAAGTTGTTTCAATGGAGCACCTCATTTCCCACCAAAGCCAGATAAATGGGCTGTCCCATTGTGGATGGAGTTAAAGTGTTCCAAGGACTGCCCATGTGTCATCAGTGCTGAAAGGACTCATGTCATTAGGAAATGAGAGAAATGAGTTTTCTCTGAGGGAAAAGATTTAAAATGTTGACTTGGAAATGCAGTAGTTTACGATTTTTAGAAACAGAAGTCTTTTTATTACATATCTTTTTTGTGGCTCCTCAATGAATTATGTAAAATATGTATATCAAGTTATCTTTGACTTAATTTGTAATGTTTATGGTATATTCATGGCTTTTAGAATAAGTTTATAAAAGGAAAATATTAAAAATTTAAAAACACTTTCTCAAAATATTAGTATTACTCATAGCTTTCAGTAATTTGTCATTTATAGTACTAAGATGATTTTTTTTAAAGATTAGATATTTAGTTAAGTGAAAAAATGCAAAATAAGTTTTAGTATTTCCCTTGTTTCATTTTACATGAGAAGTTCTGATTTTTTTAAAGTTGATTTTAGTTAAATTTTGAAACGGTAGTGAATTGTGATTTTTTATGATACAATGTTAATCTTGAACACAGATCGATCTGCTGGGATACATAATTTGCATAGCTTGTTACTCTTGGCAAAGTTCTTCTCAAGTCACTGCCTATATTCCATGCTTCTGACTATGTGGAAGAGTAATCCTTCTCCACCGAAGGGCAGAAAATTATTCATCATAGTTAATTGTTCTGAGTCTAATCTATGTATATCCTTGAGCAGTGTTTTTAATCCTTGATCAGAGAAAGTTTTTGCTAATATTTGGAGAAATGAGACAAAAATGAAAGTATAGTTTTGTTAAATAAAATTTAAGAAAAATAATGTAGTTTTTCTTAAGTCCAACTTTATTCAGGCTAAAGACACATTATTTTTCCTGAGATTATGGTGATGGATTACAAGTTTATTTCAAGAATCTTACTCGGTTGAATAAAAATTAGTTGGCCAAACCTATTTCTCAAATTTTTTGGAAATTTTACTGATTAAGGAATCCATGTCAGGTAACTTGTGATGTGGGCTTTGGTCAACAAATCTTTCTACAAAGATCACAGGCAGTTTTAATATAATACTTGAATTTGTTAAGCAGTTAAACTGGTAACTAGGCAATACACAAATTGAGTTATTACTCTTTAGTGGCTAGAAGTTTAATAATAAGGATAAGATTTCAGCTATTTGGTTTGTTAGTGTGTATGTTAAATCTGTTGCTATATGATTACTTGTAGAGGATCTTACAGTTGAGGGGTGATTCTTAGTACTGCCTGATTTGTTTTTACATACTATGGACATTATTGTTGAGAATAGTTCCATTATGAATGGTTAGCCATCATATTCCTTTACTACATTTCTATCATCAACATAGAATATACATGTGTCATTAGGTAATAACAGAAGTGAGTTTAGCTCTGGGTACAAAAATTTAAGAAATCTGACATTTAATCTCCTTTAAGTTAAGAAAATATTTTTGTAGTTTCTGGGTCTGACCAGTAATTCTTTTGCAGTTTAAGTGCTGTGGAGTGGTGTATTTCACTGACTGGTTGGAAATGACAGAGATGGACTGGCCCCCAGATTCCTGCTGCATTAGGGAATTCCCAGGATGTTCCAAACAGGCCCACCAGGAAGATCTCAGTGACCTTTATCAAGAGGTAAGACCATATGTTGTTAACTTGTGGATGTACATTTTCCTATAATAATTTTAAGTAAAGAATCAGCAACATGCCGATGAAATGTTCCTTTTCTGTCTAAATATAAAAGGCCTTACAATTTCTCTCTGATACATAGAGAAACAGGATAAAGCTAAAAATTAACGTAAAATTCTTAACACTACTCACATGTTAATAAAGGAAAGCAGGGAAGACCAGGGTTTAGAATTAATAGGATATTGAACAGTATTGTCTGGAACCAAGTTGTGTTACCATCTCCTAGGGATCCTTGGAAAACAGATGTGCAGTGTATGTAGCTAATTCTGGATGTTTGTTTGGGAAGCACAAGGTTTGGAATTGGGAAGAATATGTATTTTAGGGCCCCTCCATAGACTAACACATGTGGTGGTGGAAAAAAAACCCCCAAAAATCTAGCTTTCTAGAGACAGTGCTGCAGTGCTACTCTTCAGGTCCCCCTGCTGGCTAATGAGTAGTGATGTTGGTTTTAGTTCACTGATTATTTGCTGGAATTAAAATCAATTGTCCTGTGCCCAAGAAGCTTGCATATTTGTGTTTTCTGAAAAAATTTATCAGAAAAATCAGTTACTCCCTTTTAGCAGAAAGTTTCCTATTCCTTTACTTTAATAATGATTTTCAAACTTTGTTAGCAGTGAAATCCCTTTTTCAAATTAAAAGCTAGACTTGCACTGTCCAGTGCAATAGTCAATAGCTACATGTGGCCATATAAATTAAAGTTAAAATTAACCTAAATTAAAATTTCAGTTCCTCCGTTTTACTAGCCCTATTTCAAGTGCTCAACAGCCAGTTGTGACTAGTGGCTTCTATACTGGACAATGCAGGTATAGGACATTCCCCTCATTACAGTAAGTACTATTGGGCCGTGGGTCTAGGATGGAAACTCAAAATGTAAATCAAATAGAAAGGAAGCTGCTCAGGCTAAGGGGCTGGGATCATTCCCCATGTACATCTCCAGTCAAGTACCTGGTTATCACAAAGCACTGTTGCAAACCTCTGGCTTAACATTAAAGCAACTACTTACCCTATTCATAAAACATATATATATATATAGGATGTCTATAAACAATGAAAATTTTAAATGAAACAGAATTTATAAAAGTTGAATTTTTATATAATTCAAGATGGTTAACTTAGGTTATACGTTTTTCCCTAGAATACTGTCATTCAAAACATCTTTTATACTATCTGCCAAAGTCAGTTGTAGAGATTTCCAGTTAATTTAGACTGTAAATTGACAAATTTGAGTGCTGTAAATAATTAATTAAAAGAATCATACATTACCTACATAATTGATTCATTGTATTCATGTCTTAGATATGAGTAACTTTTGGTTGTTAAAAAAATTTATCTCAGAGGAGAAGAATATGCTACATTTAAGGATATTCAAAATAAAGTGCTTTGGGCTCTGAAGGCATGTCCCAAAGAAGAGCATCAAATATTTTTTTAAGAGTTTCAGAATTGTATCAGTTTGCTAAGGCTGCTGTTACAAAGTACTGCAAACTGAGTGACTTAAACAGCAGGAATTTATCATCTCACATTTCTGAAGGTAGAAGTCCAAGATCAAGGTGTCAGCAGGATTGGTTCCTTCTGAGGTTCTATGTGGAAGAATCTGTTCCATGCCTGTCCTCTAGCTTCTATTGGCTTGCTGGCAATCTCCCCCTTCTTCATCTTGTAGAAGCATCACCCTCATTTATGTCTACATCTTCACTTCGTGTTCTCCTAGTGAATGTCTGCCTTCGTATTTCCCCTTTTTATAAGAACACTACTCATATTGAATTGGGGGCCCACTTTTCTCCAGTATGATCTCATCTTTAGTTAATTACATCTGCAGAAACCCTATTTCCAAATCACAGTCTGAGGTACTGGGGTTAGGATTTCAACCTATGAATTTAAGGAGAACACAAGCCAACCCATTTCAAAAATTACTGAAACAACTGAATAACTCAAGTTGTTTACTTTAAACAGATAATCAAAATACTTTTTGTCATGCTTAACACTACTGAGAAGCATTGTGTTTGGACGTTATTATTTTAAACATATAGTGTTTAGTAACATTTGACTCCCAATGCAAAGGAATACACAAGGTATAGTTTATTGGTTTATTGAACAAAAAATTGTTGGGTCAATGTTTCTTGGTTTCTCTGTGATTATGTCACATCTTTTGTCCTGTCTGAAAGCTAAATATTGGCTAGTGTCTGTAGTAGGGATGGTCAACTAACATGCAAGAAAGTCCTGTTTGTTCCATAAAAAAGAAAACAGTACTTAATATTTCTGAGATAGTATTTGTCTTAGTCCATTTAGTGATACTATAACAGAATACCTGAGACTGGGATATTTTATAAAGGAAAGTGGTGATGGAGTTCGGATGTGTTGTCCCCTCCAAAACTCATGTGGAAATTTGATCCCCAATGTGGCATTGTTGGAAACTGGTTGAGTCATGGGGGTGGATCCCTCATGAATGGATTAATGATCTCCCTGGGGGAGGGAGGATTAATGAGTGAGTTCTCGCTGTATTAGTTCCTGCAAGAGCTGGTTGTTTAAAAGATCCTGGAACTTCTCCTCTCTCTCTCTCTTGCTTCCTCTCGCCATGCGATCTGCTTATACCCACCTGCTGCCTGCCACTTTCTGCCATGAGTAGAAGCAGCCTGAGGCCCATGGCACATGCATCTGTCCCAGAATCATAAGCCAAATAAACCTCTGTTCTTTATAAATTACACAGTCTCAGGTTTTTCTGTTATAGCAACACAAAATGGACTGATACGAATGGTTTATTTGGCTCATGATTATATTGGCTGAAAATTTCAACATTGGGTAGCTGCATCTGCCGAAGGCCTCAGGCTGCTTTCCACTCATGGTGGAAAACAGAAAGGGAGCAGTCATGTGCAAAGAGATCACATAGCCAGAGAAGCAAGAGAGAGAAACTGAGGAAGCCAGACTCTTTTTTAACAACTTGCTCCCACTGGGGCTAATCCATTCCCAGTGAGAGCCAGAACTCACTCACCCTCCAGGGAGGGCATTAATCTAATCACAAGGGATCCACCCCCATGACCCAAACACATCCCACTAGGCCCCACCTTCCAGCACAGCCACTTTGGGGATTATATTTCAGCATGAGTTTTGGCAGGTTCAAACTACATCCAAACCATGGCAGTATTAAACGCAAACATAATTGAGGATATTTAAATATATTGTAACTTACTTTTAGGCATTAAAAGAATAGATGATTACAGTATAGATGTAAGTGTAGACATATGAATTGAAACCTATCAACTTTTCTACTATGAATTTAATGCATTTGTTGGTTTTTAGCAATAGCATGTCAATATGGGGAATTATTGGGCTACAGCACCGTAGTATAGTAATTTCTACCTGCTTTAGTGATTAATACTGATGATATGATTATAATTAATAGTGATCATGAGAACAGCAAAATATGAACTAATTTACCAGATATTCCTACAAAATCTGAATGTGGACAAATTGTCTTCAATTTTCCTTTATTTAGCTGAAAACAATTCAATTAAACATTTAATATAATTTTCTTGTAAAAATACAATTTATTTTTACTAGTTTGTCCAGTACTATTTTACTAATAGTACTTTATAATGGAATGCTTTACTTTCAGGATGTCTATAATTTCTCGTTCCACAAATTTTAGGGTTGAGACCAGCCATACTATTGTGTACGTGCTAATTGATAGCTCAGATTATTTTGCATTTTTTTATATTTTCATATGACTTTCAGTAGTAAACTGGCACTGTCAACTTACTGTTGAGATGTTCTTTAGGCACAGATTTCCAACTGAGATAGAGTTTCATTTTATCAGAGTAATCTGCTTTTGCATTTTATGATTAATAACAGATGCTGATATTGGTAATGATATAATACATAATTATATGCGTAGTTGACTTACAAAAGGGAACTAAATGTAAATTGACTTACATTTAGTAGCTTTATGGCACAAGAACTTAAATCCATAATTACAAATAAAACTTAATTTCACCTTCCCCTAGAGAACGTATATTTTCTAATAGCAGAATGTCCAAAGATCATCAGTGGGAAGTTAAGGAATCTAGAAAAAGAAACAAGTGGGGAGCAGCTGGAGGTATTTGGGTTATTTATGCTGAAGTTGAGAGCACTACAGAAGATATTTTAGATGTCTTCAAATATTTCAAAGTTCATAATTCAGAACAGAAACTAGACTTATTCATTATTGTTCCAAGAGCCAGAAGTTACAGGAAGGAAATTTTGAATCAATAGAAGGAAAAACTTGCTCATCAAAATCTGTCCAATTGTGAGATAGGTTATCTTGTAAAACAGTGAGTGTCTCATCACTAAAAATATTAAAGTCAAGGTTAGGTAACCATGTCATTGGGGATGTAGAGTAGATTTTTAAATTAAGCATGAATCTGGACTAGATGAACTTCAAGGTCTCTTTTATCTTTTATATTCTGTAAGGTCAGAGATAAGAACTGGCTTTCTTCCTGCAATCTTTCTTTAGTAGTCTGAAATCAAGGAAATAAATCATTCTCAACCATCTGGTGGCCTGCGTGGTCCCTGACCCAATAATATTTTATAGCATGTTTTGAAACCAGTGAAAAGTGACAGAGCAGAATAAAGCAACAATTACACATTTTAGAAACATCCCCATCAGAGGTATGGTTAGGTTTGGCACAGATCTCCCCAAATATTCATAATAAGCTACACACTTGTATAAAAGTATAGCTTTAGAAAAATCACAGATGAAAACATCTCTGACCCTCAGTTTGGTTCCACTGCATTCATTCTTTCAAAATGTGTTGTGATTGCCCACTGGGTTCCATGCACTGTCCTAAATACCAGGGACATAGGGGAGAATGTTGCAGACAAAAGTCTATCCTCTCGTATAATGTATTCTAGTAAGGGATACAGACATTTAACAAGAAAAAAAAGCAATAGAAAATAATTTCAGGTGCTGGTAAGCA